TAAGTAGTAATACATTGTCATTTAGCTACAAAGTAACTGTTACCTTGTAATACATGATATCATATTGCTAAGTAGTAATACATTGTCATTTAGCTACAAAGTAACTGTTACCTCGTAAAACATGATGTCATACTGCTAAGTAGTAATACATTGTCATTTAGCTACAAAGTAACTGTTACCTTGTAATACATGATGTCATATTGCTAAGTAGTAATACATTGTCATTTAGATACAAAGTAACTGTTACCTTGTAATACATGATGTCATTTTGTTAAGTAGTAATACATTGTCATTTAGCTACAAAGTAACTGTTACCTTGTAATACATGATGTCATATTGCTTAGTAGTAATACATTGTCATTTAGATACAAAGTAACTGTTACCTTATAATACATGATGTCATATTGCTAAGTAGTAATACATTGTCATTTAGATACAAAGTAACTGTTACCTTGTAATACATGATGTCATTTTGTTAAGTAGTAATACATTGTCATTTAGCTACAAAGTAACTGTTACCTTGATTAATTGTGATATTAATACACAATACAATGTACCAGGTGCTTTAGCAATGTTTTTAGTCATCTACATTGGTTCACATCACTTATCTTACTGCTCTTAAACAAGAGATATGATCATATCACCAAATATCAACATAGATAATAATCTGTTATCTTTTCTTTAAGTTAACTGTACATAAAAATATGCCATGTTGGAGACGCAAAGGTATTGTGAGTTGCCTCCCTTTGACCATATGTCTTGCACAAGATGTTCTAGATAGGGACAATATCTTCCTGTAGCTTGTGTTGCTGTCTGACACAAATGACCAGTGGACCAAGGAGAATCTTGATATTCTTTTCAGATGTGTTGCATTTTGTTTTACTCCTTTTTTGAGTTTTACATGTGTTATTTCTGATTCAGGTTACTGCCTCCTGTTGAGGTAAACAAATCGTCACCCATAGAAACGGGTTTTGATTATTTTCTCGATCTGTACGAGGAATGGCATTGTATATAAACTGTGTACAGGGAGTGACACTGTACAGGTAATGAGGAATTATTTTAGATGTGAGTACTACAGGTAACGGGGAACTATATATATATGGTAAGTTCACTGTATGGGACACATGTATGTATATAGTGTGAGAATGTATATATATATAACTGATATCCTACAGAAAATGAGGCTATATATAGATAATAGTTCAGTTAATATTGAAGTTTTTATTGTTGTACATATTTCATGACAAATGGTTAGAACCAAACAAAATGTTATGAGTGGTGGTGTCTGAAATGATGTAGAGACATCATCAAATGTAGAATATAGAATTCCAAAACTAATTATACTTAACACAAATATAATTATCATTGAAGATCAAAAGCAAAAATCTATACATAATGAAATCAATAATGCTGTTGCTGTTTGTTCGTGAAATAGAATTTGCTTTCATTCACATTTTTTAATAATGAAATCATGATATTGATAATGTATGGTCGGCTATTCAATAAAACTTTGTTATAATGTTTTCATGGTGAAGTATGATAAGCTTTTCAGTGATTTTATTGTTGCGCAGTATAACTAGCACTTATAATCCGGTGAGATAGATATATCATTTTGGTGCCATTTTATATGAAAATGAATTTGTTCATTCTTGACCATCTTATTATAATTTGTTGTAGTATGTGCCAAATTTGAGCCTGATTATTTGATATGAAATTGTTTTATTACGAAAAGAAGCTTGATGTTTTCTGATGTCATTAGTTTGTGTACCAGTCATGTGTATAGGTTTAGGATATAAGTTTGTGTACCTGTCATGTGTATAGGTTTAGGATATAAGTTTGTGTACCAGTCATGTGTATAGGTTTAGGATATAAGTTTGTGTACCAGTCATGTGTATAGGTTTAGGATATAAGTTTGTGTACCAGTCATGTGTATAGGTTTAGGATATAAGTTTGTGTACCAGTCATGTGTATAGGTTTAGGATATAAGTTTGTGTACCAGTCATGTGTATAGGTTTAGGATATAAGTTTGTGTACCAGTCATGTGTATAGGTTTAGGATATAAGTTTGTGTACCAGTCATGTGTATAGGTTTAGGATATAAGTTTGTGTACCAGTCATGTGTATAGGTTTAGGATATAAGTTTGTGTACCAGTCATGTGTATAGGTTTAGGATATAAGTTTGTGTACCAGTCATGTGTATAGGTTTAGGATATAAGTTTGTGTACCAGTCATGTGTATAGGTTTAGGATATAAGTTTGTGTACCAGTCATGTGTATAGGTTTAGGATATAAGTTTGTGTACCAGTCATGTGTATAGGTTTAGGATATAAGTTTGTGTACCAGTCATGTGTATAGGTTTAGGATATAAGTTTGTGTACCAGTCATGTGTATAGGTTTAGGATATAAGTTTGTGTACCTGTCATGTGTATAGGTTTAGGATAGAAGTTTGTGTACCAGTCATGTGTATAGGTTTAGGATAGAAGTTTGTGTACCTGTATAGGTTTATGCCTTTACTTGTTTGTTTTTTAGAGGAAATCCACTGTAGACACATGTTAAAACGTTAACCATAGATATCACAAGATTATACCTGTAATATAAACATTTAATATTATTGTTATGTACATAAATCATCACAAAATGAAAGTCACTGTTCAATTTTCATTATTCATATTACGTATCCGAATGAGCTATTGACAAATCTAAACCAGTCAGTCAAACTTTTATCAGACAGCCACTCTTTAGTAATTTATTACTCTCTGACCATATTTGTAGTCAGTCAAGAATAAATTAACTCATTCACCCCTGAAATTTCATAATGAACTTTTCCAACCTTTGAATTGGAAGAGTTCAAATGTGTCTTCAGGGGTGAATGAGTTAATACTGAAAGGCCTGGTCGAGGCCTTTTTATGTTATTTTAAAAATTGATCACATTCATAACTGTATTTAACAGCTGTAGATACAAGAGATTATCATCCAGTTGTTGTGGGTCAGTGTCTATTGTTGAAAAGATAGTATGTAGGGAAATCTTCAAATTCGAATTTATAAACTAGTGACATCAGGAAAAATTTGTTCCCACTGTTTCAGCAGAGATACAGTGTAGAATGAGGTACCCAGATTCATATTGGAATGTGCAATGCATTGCAATAGGATGGTAATGTTGTTATATATTTATTTACATGTTATTTCAGCAGTTTATGAAATGGCATGCTTGATGCAATCCCAGTGCTACAGACATGTCGACACCTATAACGTGGCCTTATTGTCATATACATGAACTTATTTTTAATATGAGAGACTCAATATTATACTACCATATATATACATCAGATGTATAAATCAGCTAAAAATCAAAATAATGTCAAATGTGTTGATGATGTAGGATCACTCAATAAAACATCATTACATGTCAAGTGAGTTTTCTTTTTAATAGATAAGTGTAAAGCACACTTGCATTGCAGCATTAGATCAGGAGAAAGATTACACCAAGTATTGATTAATTTCACAAACATTAGGCTGAAGAATGTATTCTTTTGTTTCTGAATTCAAATGATCAAAAGTTGAAGCACTATCTATGATGTACCGAGTTATTTGGTTGTTTTCATCCCGTTCCTGTTCGTCAGTTATTTTATTGCTTTTATTAGTAACCTTTCCTGGTCATTAGTAATTTTTTACCCCTTCATGGTCCATGCGTTTTGTTTTTCACCTTTTCCTGGTAATTGGACAATAATTATATGAATAAGGAAACAGACAGGTAACAATATATTCTTGTTTACAAACAACTGACCCGAGTGGTGTGACTACAGAAGTGTTTCAGTTATCTCACCTTTTATTACTGTGGTTATCTCCCCTAAGTCTGAATATCGGATATATCTTCAGTCTTTTTAGGTAATACAAGCCTTGGTTTTCCCTCGACAACATTCCAGATTGGTTGCTGATTTAATATACAATTCTGTCAATACCAAGTGATGTAATCGGGGAGGTATAAACCAGAGATCCTTTGTTACATCTGTATCTTTGATCCCAGGCTGTGATCTTGAGAAAAGTCACAGTAGAAAAAAAAAGGTTCAAAGGAAAGTTTATGCTTGGCGCCTTTGGCCATGCGGAGATCTATATAGGAGAAATGTAGTGTGACATCGGGGCTTAAAAATAACTTCTCAAGTCAATGGTCACAAAGATCACATTTTATTTAGGCAAAACAACCTGATGATGAGAGGCTGGCAATAATGTATAAAATGAATAACAATAACACACAGTTTACATAAACGATCCACATGGAATGTCATCCAATACTGAAGGCAAACAAGTCTTAACGAAACACAGTAACAGATTCAGAGGGAAGCAAGAGCGCTATATAGTGGGCATGTATGGTGAATAGCTACATAAAACAGTATCCAGTGCCTGTGTTGTGTATAGCCACATAAAACACAGTATCCAGTGCCTGGGTTGTGTATAGCTACATAAGACACAGGATCCAGTGCCTGTGATGGGGATAGCTACATATAACACAGTATCCAGTGCCTTTGTTGTGTATAGCTACATAACACGCAGTATCCAGTGCCTGTGTTGTGTAGAGCTTCATAACACACAGTATCCAGTGCCCGTGTTGTGTATAGCTACATAACACGCAGTACCCAGTGCCTGTGTTGTGTATAGCAACATAACACACAGTATCCAGTGCATGTGTTGTGTATAGCTACATAAAACATTATCCAGTGCCTGTGTTGTGTATATAGCTACATAACACACAGTATCGCGTGCCTGTGTTGTGTATAGCTACATAATACACAGTATCCAGTGCCTGTGTGGTGTATAGCTACATAACACACAGGATCCAGTGCCTGTGTTGTGTATATCTACATAACACACAGTATCCAGTGCTTGTGTTGTTTATAGCTACATAACACACAGTATCGAGTGCCTGTGTTGTGTATAGCTAGATAAAACAGTATCCAGGGCCTGTGTTGTGTATAGCTACATAATACACAGTATCCAGTGCCTGTGTGGTGTATAGCTACATAAAGCACAGTATCCAGTGTCTGTGTTGTGTATAGCTACATAACAAACAGTATCCAGTGCCTGTGTTGTCTATAGCTACATAACACACAGTATTCAGTGCCTGTGTTGTGTATAGATACATAAAACAGTATCCAGTGCCTGTGTTGTTTATAGCTACATAACACACAGTATTCAGTGCCTGTGTTGTGTATAGATACATAAAACAGTATCCAGTGCCTGTGTTGTCTATAGCTACATAACACACAGTATTCAGTGCCTGTGTTGTGTATAGATACATAACACACAGTATCCAGTGCATGTGTTGTGTATAGCTACATAAACCAGTATCCAGTGCCTGTGTTGTGTAGAGCTTCATAACACACAGTATCCAGTGCCAGTGTTGTGTATAGCTACATAACAAACAGTATCCAGTGCCTGTGTTGTGTATATAGCTACATAACACACAGTATCGAGTGCCTGTGTTGTGTATAGCTACACACCACACAGTATCCAGTGCCTGTGTGGTGTATAGCTACATAAAGCACAGTATCCAGTGTCTGTGTTGTGTATAGCTACATAAAAAACAGTATCCAGTGCCTGTGTTGTCTATAGCTACATAACACACAGTATCGAGTGCCTGTGTTGTGTATAGCTAGATAAAACAGTATCCAGGGCCTGTGTTGTGTATAGCTACATAACAAACAGTATCCAGTGCCTGTGTTGTCTATAGCTACATAACACACAGTATCGAGTGCCTGTGTTGTGTATAGCTAGATAAAACAGTATCCAGGGCCTGTGTTGTGTATAGCTACATATAACACAGTATCCAGTGCCTTTGTTGTGTATAGCTACATAACACGCAGTATCCAGTGCCTGTGTTGTGTCTAGCTACATAACACACAGTATCCAGTGCATGTGTTGTGTATAGCTACATAAACCAGTATCCAGTGCCTGTGTTGTGTCTAGCTACATAACACACAGTATCCAGTGCCAGTGTTGTGTATAGCTACATAACAAACAGTATCCAGTGCCTGTGTTGTTTATAGCTACATAACACACAGTATTCAGTGCCTGTGTTGTGTATAGATACATAAAACAGTATCCAGTGCCTGTGTTGTGTCTAGCTACATAACACACAGTATCCAGTGCCTGTGGTGTGTATAGCTA